TCGCGTATATGTACACATATGTATATGTACACATATGTATATGTACACATATGTATATGGAGATATGTACACGGGCTTTGTTGCTGTGGATGGTTCTCTGTCACATGTGCAGCAGCACTGCTGGAAGGAACCGTTCAAAGCTGGCGGGAGACTGGAGAAGAAGGAGCCCCACTCTGCTCCTGTGGGGCCCTGCCGACCCTGGGCCAAGGCTGGCGGGGCAGGGGGGGGGCAAGTCTAGAATCTTCCCTAGGGCTGAGATATTCCAAGCAGTCTCCAATCTTTGGAATGGGCTGGCAATGCCCCCTGGCTGGACTGGGGTATGTGGGCTCCTTGTGAGTAGGAGTGAGAAGAGAAAGCCCTGGGCATCATCAGGGAACATGAAAGTTATACAGCACTAGTGTCACAGAGAAAGAGACCCAAATGAAGCCAACAGCAATTCGCCACACAGCCCATGATTCAGCGACACGGCAGGCTCTTCCTTCTATGTGTTGCTGAGAACTGGAGCAGACGGTGTCGACAGTGTCCGACTGCGCCTGAGGAAGGCCAGGCACGGCTGCACAGAAGCCCCCAGAAGTTTGTCACAGAACCCACCATCCCTTCTCTCTGCTCAAAACCACCCCCTCTTCTGCTGCTTGCTGGCTGCTGGGCTGGGGCAGGCAGTGGTGAGAAGTCCTGTGTGAGGTCCCAGGAAGAGGTCACCGCTGGTCCCTGCTCCTCCCACATCTGACCACTCTGGGGGGCTTCAGTGCAGGGTGGATACTGAACCCACAGACCCCGAAGAGAGGGGAACTGGTGCGCATAGGGGATGAGTTGGGGAAGGGTGACTTACTGGGGTGAGGACAGCAGCCATACAGCTTTTTGAGTTGTCACCCATGCTGGGGTGGGGCTTTACTGGGACATAGCTTACCAAGAGTCACCGTGCTCCAGGAAGTAACCCCATATACTCACTGGGTCCCTTTGGTGGAGTCATTTAGACCTATGATGACCTATCTGGGGCAAAGCGGCACTTCTCTGTGTCTCCCCAGGAAAGGTCACTCCCCCTGGAGGGGTTGTGACATGCTAGACCAGTGTTTGTTTTGCTGGGAAGAATCTGGACTCTCCCAGCTCTGGGGCCGACAGCTTTTGTGAGTAGTGAGGTCAAACATGTCTCCCCGCTGTGTGGCCTGGGTTCTCTAAACCCTTGGCTCTGGCAGGATTGGGGGAAACGAAGGACTGACTTTATTCCTATGCTGTAGATGACAAGGCAGCTGGAGGGACATGGGTGAGGTTAGACCATAGTCACCCCAGGACGCACGTGGAGGGTACTCGGGGGTCATGCTCTGAGTGGAATCACACCCGGCTTTTGTGAACCCAGTCACATTCAGGAGATCTCAAAAGCTAACAGGAAGAGGAAGACTGTAGGCTCCGAGCCTCTCCCACTCAGACGGCCTCTTCACCACACTGTCACTGCCCAAGATGACCTCCATGCCCCCTACAACCTAGGCACAGAACTCTCCGGAAGGATATAGAGCATCTGGTCTTTGACCTTGCTGTCACTGATGGAAGCTGGATCTGTGGGGGTGTGGGGTGAAGGGTATCTTCCATCTGAGCTCTGAAGGAACGATTACTAACTGTAGAACCCATAACTGAGCCAGTGGGCCCCACCCCCAGGCCCACAGATGGTGTCCTGGCTCCCTGCTTCCACTAGGGGGAGACCTTGATCTGTAACTGGGTGCACTTCTGCCCTGGAGCAAGTGATGGAGTGAGTGGCTATAGTTTATTCTCTAAACCCAGAGCCTCCCAAACTACAGAGGAGACCAGTCAGTCTCTGGGAAGCCATGACTAGTGAGATTGGGGATTTCCCAAAGCTCCCCTCTGATCCCTACAACAGAGCTAGAATATGACCCAGAAAGCATGAGAAAGACCTTACCACTACCATTTCCACTAACAGAGCACTGTCTTTCTGGGTCTCCAGCAGGCTATACATGACCCCAGCTTTCCTCATGCAGGTCTTCAACAATGATGCACACCGCTCAGGACTGGATGGCCTACTCCCACTGCTCACAAGCTGGAGGTGTATGTTAAGTTTGCCCCCACCACGCCCTCCCCCCACACCCTCCCTCCCCACCCAGCCAGGAAGAGAGCAGCTGCAGAGGACTTAGAGAAAGATGGCTGTGTTTTGCATCTTAAGGTAAAAGGGCCACTGCCATTGAGCTCCACTTTCCCCCTTTAGGAACCTTAGACCTCTGGGGGGATTTTTCTGGTCTCCAGGTTTCAGCCACAGTGTGCTGGCCTTAGACCCAGCGTTTGAGATGTATAGATGCCCTCCTCTTTTACACATCTTGATCCTTTTCTGTCTGGGGGACATGCTGACCATGTGGCCCATTTTCTGTGGGTCCTTTAACTTATTTGTCATCTCTGCTCCCCAGCCCTCAGCATTCTACACCCCACAATTTTATCATTCATCAACGCAGCCTTGGTCCTGTGAGGGAATGCGGGACCTGGATCCCATGAGCCAGGCACCAACTGTCCCCAGCTGCCATCTGCTCCCTCCCTCCACACGGGACCTGCAGAAGCCAGGGGCATGGCTTTGACAGCAGATGAGGTCAAGGATCCAGGGATGCAGTGGGGGAAACACTTCCTTCAGAAGACATTCGTTATCCCTCTCTGGGACTCCTGAGGGGTGTGTGTCTGGGGGAGATGCCTCTGCTTTCCCTCGCTGTGAGAAAGCTTAGCTGAGCCTCTGCCCACACGTGGCTCACCGAGCAGTGGGATAAGAAGTGCTCTGGGGCCGGGCGTTGGTGGTGCACGCCTTTAATCCCAGCACTGGGGAGGCAGAGGCAGGCGGATCTCTGTGAGTTCGAGGCCAGCCTGGTCTACAAAGTGAGTTCCAGGACAGCTTCCAAAGCTACAGAGAAACCCTGTCTCAAAAAACAAAAAAACAAAAACAAAAACAAAAACAAAACAAACAAAAAAAAAAGAAGTGCTCTGGGCAGCACCTGGGTCAAATTGCTGTGGAGGCTGATTGCTGGGGCAGGTCTAGGCACTGGAGGCAGAGAGCCGACCACGCCCTTGTCATTTCCTTCTCTCCATAGCAGCTGAAGACTTGAACCAGGCAAGGACAGCAGATTGGCCGGTCTGAGGCTGGGGGTAGGTAACGCCACAGTGGTCACAGTCCAGGGGTCCCAGTGTTCTCCACAGCACACTACACACTACTGCTTAGTTTTACTTGACAAAACCTAGAATCACCTGGGAAATGTCTTAATGAGGAATTATTTAGATCAGAATGGCCTGTGGGCATGTCTGTGGAGGATTATCTTAATTGTTAATTGTTAATTGAACAATCCACCCTGAATGTGGGTGGCACCATTTCATGGATCCGGACTTTGTAAGCTTACATAAAACTAGCTAAAGTGCAAAAAGAGCAGCCGGCATGGGCACATCCTCTTCTCTCTGCTGCTGCCTGTGGGTGAGTGACTAGCTGCTTCAAGTTCCTGCATCATGACTCCTTGGCTATGATAAACTATGTCACCTGGATTAGAAGCAAAAAAAGAAAACAAAAACAGCAATAACTAGAACCCCTTTCCTCTTGCATGTTGCTTTTTTGTCAGCATATTTTGTCACGGTGACGGAAATGAGACTAGGACACTCAGCCCACCTGGTGCCTCATTCTTGCTCCAGGGTCCCACTGTGGTGGGAAAAAATGACCACTCTGACCATGATGCCACATTGGCTCCTGGCAGTGTCTCATTCACCAGGACGCTGTCTGTGTGCCTGTGACTTCTGCCCCTGGCACTCATAGCAGAGAATACTCTTCCAAATTCTTCCCCAGGGTTGGGACAGCGCCCCTGAGCTATGCCATCTAGGCAGCTTTGTCACTAGAGGACCCCGTAGCCACTAAGCACTTTATGGTTCCATGGCCCTGACTTCTAGATAGCTGGTGTCCAGTAAATGAACTCTGGTCACCCAAATCCAATGGCCAGCTTGGAGTGTGTGGAGTGAATTAGTCACTGTCCACTGTCCGAGAATGGTCATGCTAAAGTTATGCCTCACCCAGGGGCTGCTGTTTGCAGCTAATGGTAACCCTCAGACTCACTATTCTGGGAGCTCCTAAGTCTACCCACATCAGCCACCTGGAGTTTGGGGGGAGGTGGCAGGGAGACAACTTTCCAAGGCTGCGAACCCCTGTATTAAACCATCCCACACTCATGGTGACACTTGTCACTCAGAAAAGTCCCACTCGAGTCTGGCTCACGTCACTAAACAAGCAATACAAATTGCTATCTCCGTTCAACTCCCCCAGTAGCCACCCCCAGTCCAAACCAGGCAAGTAGACTTCTCTGTCACTCTGGGGGCTGCTCTTGCCAACGCCTGTCATCACTGGCTCTGTGGGGTAACGGGCTGTGGGTTGGCAGCAGGAGAGGTCACATTGACCTGTCGTTCCCCTGCGCCGTGGCTATCCGGTACAGTTTTTGGGGCCTGATGTAGCTTCCTTGAGAGCAGTGATCTGCCAGAGTGGTGGCCTAAGACAGGGGCTGTGACCACAGAAGCAACAGAAAGAGACACAGGGAGATACAGGACCCTGGCCGGCATTCAAAGGTGCAACTCGATCTACACAGCCCTGAAAGAAACTAATGGGTAGACACAGGGTAGGATGGGAAAACTAGTCTAGAATCAGAGCCAAGGGTGAGTAGTCACAGGTCTACATCTCTTCATGATGTCAGGGGCTGTCCAGTCTTGGGAGGGGTCTGCTCCCAAAGACTGCAATTAAGAAGCCTGATAGGGGCTAGAACCCCAGAGAAATGGGAGCTGCTTCCCAGGAGCCTCCATCCACCAAGGCAGAAAGTGGACAGCTCCTTTCTATGACCTGGCCACGCTGTGACAGAGCCTCTGCTACAGAAGAGAGTCTCCAAGTGGGACCCGCTGATGGCTCCAGGCCAGTGCGGCTGGGAACTGAGCTCTGGGCCTGTCCCACACGTTAGCGCCTCCTACGTTAGAAGGAGAATGAGGAGAGATGCAAATAGCCACACCATCACTGTAATTTTGGATCGCCTTTCTCTTCATTTCAGACTGGTGCCCGCAAACCTTCTGTTGGTTTCTCCCTCTAGTAAGGATCTAGCTCTGGACTGGTGCATCACTCCTAGGTTTGCTTCTGGAAGAGGCACAAAGGTCCACACGTCATGCCAACAGCTTCAGCCTCACAACACATCTTCTTGCAGCATGTATGAATTCCAGGTTGGATACAGTCCCCCTCACGATGTTACTCTTTCCACACTTCAAATACAGATGAGTCTCCGATGTCCCCTGGGACTTGCTCAGGAGACCTGAACAGGCCAGGGTATTTACCTTTCATGGGTCCCAAGGCATCTGCCTATTCGCAGGACTCTCTAGAGATATCCACATGCTTGGTGGTGGGTGGGAAGCCCAGACTCAGCTCTGGTGTTAGGAAATAGCAATGAATGGATGCCATCACCTTCCTCAAACCAAACCATCTGGATTCAGAAACATGTGGACGTCAGAAGGAGAGGGGACCAGAAACAGTAGTAAATGCATCCAAGAAGGCTGCTGGTCTGCAGTCACTCACAACTCAGTCTGGCCATTTTGCATACAGGCATCTGAAATTCTAGCAATATCATCCCAGCGCAGGAGCTGGTGCTACCCCAGCCTCTGGGAAGCAGAGATCACACACAGCCATTAACTGAAAGGCTGGGGTGTCATCAGACACCTGTGGGGACCCAAGGACCTTCCCACGCTAGGCTACCACCTGGCCACCTTGTAACCTCTGCCCTAATACTGCCCCCTGGGAGACCACAGAGCAGATGCAGGGGACCACATGGCTGAGCAAAGGGATGAGGACCCAGCGGAAGTGTTCCATGAAGTCCTAATGCCTGGGAGAGTGCCCAATCATCTGCACAGTGCCCACTGCAGCCCATCCTGACAGGCCTGGGTGCCTGTGCAGTGTGCAGTTGGATTAGCATTGCCCAGCACTCTGGTGCTTGGTCAATATCCGGCCTCTAGCCCAGTCCTCAAGTTTTGGCCCTGTTCCTCCCATGCACTTCTGGGGCAGGGAGAGAAGTTGGCCTCAGACCCTGCTGAGAAAAGCAGGTGTGTTCTTCAAAGTAAATAATATTTTTGAAATACTCCCTTTCCACCCCAATCTGAGAAATGGCAGAAGGGAACACGTGAAGGTCTTTGTGCCCAAAGCCACCTGGTGCAACCCTCACAGGACCTTGAACTTCTCCGGGAGGTCCTGGAGGCTCACAGCTGCTGTGGGATACCTTGATCCTTGTACCCTGTAAGGAAGGAGGAGAGGTGGTTAGGGGACCCTCCCCTTAGGGGTGTCCAACATGGCCCCAGACCAGGATATGCAGGACCTTGTTTACGCTATGAAGACCTTATTTTTACAGTGAACAGTAAAGATCTATTTACAGGCAAGGCTGGGAGGAAAGAGGGAGGGATGGATGAAGGAAGGAAGGAAGGAAGGTAGGAAGGAAGAGAGGTAGGAAGGGAGGGGGAGGGAAGGGAGGGAGGGAGGGAGGGGAGGGAAGGAAGGGAGGGAGGGAGGGAGGGAGGGGAGGGAAGGAAGGATGAGGTTGGGAGGGAGGGAGGGAGGGAGGAAGGGAGGGGGAGGGAAGGAAGGATGAGGTTGGGAGGGAGGGAAGGAGGTAGGAAGGGAGGGGGAGGGAAGGAAGGGAGGGAGGGAGGGAGGGAGGGAGGGAGGGAGGAAGGGAGGGGGAGGGAAGGAAGGATGAGGTTGGCCGCCCGAGAACGGAACAGCTGTGTGACATGTGTTCCACCAGCTGGGTAGCTGGGACAGGAGCGGGGCTGGAGCACACCAACTCTTCAGAGCATCATTGCTGATACTGCAGTTTTTGTTTTCCAGTGTCAGAGATGAAGCCCAGGCCCTCATATGCACTGACGAGTGCTTCATGCCCCCCCATTGGACCATTGACGGGGTGAGGGAATTGTTGCTAATCTGATTGGGTGAGATTACAGAGCTGAGATGGCAGGGAAGGGTGGACTAAACTGGGCCTCTGCCAGTTATCTTGGTCTATGGAGGAAGGACAGGAGCCCCAGCCGGGTCCCTTGCTATGTAGGGGGTCACCTGCCAATCTTGGGTGCCAACAAACCAGTGATGGTCAGGGGCCTAGGAGCAACGGAAGTAATGAGAGTGGCATGAGTAGCCAAAGATGGCAGAGACATTAGGGACCTGCTATGCTAGGCACTCTCCTTTCCAGAGGAAAGCTCAAAACGCAGTCACCCACTAGCCAATCGAGGGTGGAGTACCTGTGCAGGAGACAGGGCATACATCTACTAACAGACTCACCTTGGGAGACTGCAGCAGCAGAGATGCAAGGCGGCAGAAGGAAGAGGAGAGAGAAAGAGAAACGGTCTCAACACAGAAGCCGAAGAGCTGGGAACCTCAGGTGGGGGGGGGCTGCTACCAAAGGTCCTGCAGAGGCAGGGCTTCAGCCAAGGTGGGCCTAGTCCTCCCGGTGAGCAGTCCCTGTGGCCGGCAGCCAGTCCCACTGTCCTGGCCCCGTCTGCCCAGTGCCCCCCTCAACCACGCCCACACCCCTGCTCACCTCCTGTCTTCACTCCCGCTCCCAGCCCATGCTCTCAGGGTGTGTCCTGGATGATTTAGAGGGTACAGAGGGGACAGGTATGACTGAGGAACTAAAGACACTGCAGTGACCGGCCCTGGTTCCAGCCCAGCTCTGTCCGAGCTACATGATTAGTAGTTTCTATGGACTGGACCCACATTTATAAAGCCTGCTGCTTTGGGAAAGACCTGAGGATGGAAAACGTCCCGCAGACATCTTAGGTCAATCGGCAATGGCTGCCCGGAGCCTTGTGCTGAGACAAATGTCAAAAATGATTATCAGTGTCTGCTGCTGGTGTAGCAATAGAAAGAACAGTCAGGAGAGCCACCAGGCAAGTACTGACCAGTGATCAAGACAAGCTGCTATGTGCTGCTCATTATCATTACATAGATGGAGCGTCTATGTTCAGACAACTCTTGGATCCTTCTCAGAAGTTTTTATTTGATGCTGTGTTTGCTGGTGGCCACGGTGCCATGTGCAACCCAACCTGTGCTTTGTTTTGTTTTTTTCTTTATGTGAGTGATGTCAGAGGAACAACCCTCTACCCAACTGTTCCTGGGACAAAGTCAGTTGCAGCTGTTCCCTTCTAAAGGGCCACCCAGAGACACCTCCGCAAACATGGCTGCTCAGTGCAGCCCTAGCCCATCTCATGAGAAGAGGGCATCCGTCTTTTGGGGGTCAGCGCAACTTTTAGAATAAGTGAAAAGGCAACAGCTGTTGAGATGGATGGGTGTGTATCTGGCAGTCCGGGAAGAGGAGGCAGGGACTGCTTTTCTTCTGCAGCCCCCTCAAAAATCATGGCAAAAATTTGGTACCAAGCCAGAACCCCTGGATACAGGGGCTGACAAACACACAAGGGAGCCTAGAGGGCGAGAGGGAAGAGCTGGGCTGGAGACCCTGACATCAGTATATCCTACATCAGATTATAGCTCCTACACCAGCCCACGGAGTTCCGGTCAAGTCAGTAGCCTGGAAGACAGGCAGGGAGGGACGGCATGGGCCCCCGTCTGCACGTCTTGGGATCTGTGTTGTCTCATCTAGGGCTAGCAGGAATGTTCTTAAACTTATGACTTTGGTCTAGACCCCTGTTCCTGGGGATTAAGGAGGACCAAAGACAAGCACAGATTGATGGCTTACAGTGCTTCAACTCACGACATTGCAAGTTTAAGACGTGTTACGTGGGGTCCTGAGCTCATTTTTGACACGGTAGTCCTGGCATGTTATGAGTTCAGTGAGCCAAAGAGCACCTAGATTCAGGAAGCTGTGGGAATCAGATCTGGCATCAACACACATTTATTGAGGCCTTAGTTTGGCACATTCTTTGCTGTCCGGAATGTTCCCTGAAGGCCCATGTGTAAGGGTTGACCCCCTAATGGGAAGTCTTTTGGCTTAGTTGTTGCATTTGGTACGTTGGTCCCATTAGTCCCGGGTGTTAGTTACAATAACAGAGAGATGACTAACTCTCTTGTTAGAGTCCCAACACCGCTGACTCCCAATGCTTGCTTACAGAGCCAAGAAATCAGGAGTGTGAGGCTGGTATAGCCTTCCCGGGCCTTCTAAAGAGGCCGCACCTCCTAGGATCTAACTGGGAATGGGACCTGGGGCCCCGCATATGACCCATACATCCCTGGGGAAGTGGCTTAGTGGTTCCTGGGAATCCAACAGTGGGAGTGAGGTCCAGTGAAGGGGTCATCAGATGTGGGGTGAGCTGTACGGTTCACCTTGACCTGAGGCTCTTCCCAGCAGAAAGGGGTATTCCCCAACTGCCACCTGGTGCTCCCTCCCACCCTGTCTACCTATGGGACATCCTGAAAGTCCAGCCCACTGACTTCCTGTCTGAATTCTGTGAAGACCTGCTGTCAAGTCTGGCACCCTGGCCATCCACACCGAGTCCCACCAGCTCTAGCACTTTAACTTTCTCTGTGGGGGTGATTTGTTTAGTCACTGACTCTGGTCCTAGCATTGTGTGTGCCTGAGTTTCCTGCATCTTCCAAGGAACCCCAGTTGAGGCTGAGTAAGTTCTAGATCATTCTAAACTGTTATAGGTCATCCTGTGGCCTCTGTATCTTGGCTTCTCCTGCCTCTCGGGTTCTCACCTGGCACAGCCTCCCTATACACTGGCAATTCAGCCTGAGAACCCAGTGAGGGGCAGCATGTTGGGACGGGCACAAACAACAAAGTGACTGAGAAGATGTGGCCCCAGTTACTGAGGCCACCCCCCAGTGCGGGAGGAACAGGAAAGGGGGTACAGGGAAACAGCTGTTCCAGACAGGTGCTGTCTGATTGACGATTCTGCCAGGTTATTTTTAAATGATCATCCGTCTTTGGTAAATTTGATTTTGTCACTTTAGATACTTCCACAAAACACTTTTGTGCCTAAGCTGATTCTGCATTAACATTAGATGATTCATTGACACCTTCAAAGACAGTGAGAGCTTGTAAGACTTCGGCACCAACCAACCAAAGAGTGTGGTTTAACCCAGTGAGGAGTCGTTCAGGTCTAAAACCACAACTACATGGTTTCCTGCAGGTGAAGACAGTGTGTGGCCTTGCTCTTCCTCTAGAAACTGTGATGCTGACACACAACCATGGGCCAAGAAAGAGGTCGACCTCATTCTGAGTACACCAGCTCACCCAGGTTCAGTGGGAGAGCCGCTTCCTCCACAAGTGTGGAAAGTGGTGTCTTTGCTGGGGAGGGCCCTCCTTTGGAGACCCACGCTGCAGGCCTGGCATGGCAGAGAGAGGGCTCTGCGACAGGTGGCCGTGGCAACAGGGACAGGCATGCCCTTGGAGGCTGTGTCCAAGGACACGGGTGTCTTTGGGGTGAGAGGTCCTACAAGTGCAGGCCTCCTGTTCCTAGGCTCCTCCACAGCTCTGGCACCCTGACCAGACCCCACCCCTCTCTGCCCTCAGCCACACCAGCCATTACTCACTGGCAAGGATGACCATGTCCATGCCCCAAAAGATGCTCATGATCCAGCCCACCATGACGATGGCCGTGAGCACCTGAATTAGGGCCGCAGCGATATTCAGCCAGAAGACGCAGCACACGTGCCTGTCTGGGAGGTCAGTGCGGGCCCCACACAGCACAGTGAAGGCGGAGACGAACGTACCTGTGGGAGGCCAGAGGGGACAGCTTCAGGGGAGGCTACAAGGCTGCAGTCCACCACTGCTCGGCCTCCAGTGCTCAGAGAGAAGCGGGGAGGTCCTGCACCCTGTCCTCGGGGCTCTGTCCTGCTCAGGTCCTAACCTCAGTGTGTCTCCAAACTGAAGAGATTAGGACACCACCTGGAGGAGGTTTGACACGGGGCCCGATAGGACCCAAGCCTGTGGCTTCTGGAAAACAGGAGTCATTGGGTGACCCAAAAGTCAGCCTCAGAGGTTGAATTCCAGAGATGGGGGAAGAGAGCCAGGAGGTAATCTCAGCTCATGTGCTGATGGCTAGAAGACAGGACTGGGACCTGGGGCCCGTGGACCGAGTGCCGGATGGCAGCCAGACAGTCTTAGAGCATCCCTGATGTTCCCACAACCGTTCCAACCCCAGGGGAGGGGTGTAGGAAGGAGAGCTACCTGGGGGGTTTTCCCTTCCTTTCCCTCTTCCCAGTCCCTTCCCTTTCCTCCCTCTCCTCGCCCCTCCCCTCCCTCCCTTCCACCTCTGTCTTACCCCTGTTGAAGATGCTGTTGTTTACTGAACCATGCTTGGCTATAGCTCTTCTCTGATGTGAGCTTTGAGGTTCCCACCCCAAGAATGGCTCTGCCTGTTCTCCCTGTGACTGCTCCCTGGGGGCTCTCACAGCAGTTACCATAAGCTTAGTGGCTTCCACCACGCAAATGCACCCTTCCTCTGCTTTGGAGGTCAGGGAAGTCTGAATGAGGTTCCTGGGCTAGTGTGGGGGTACCACTTCCTGTCGCCCCAGCTTCCGGTAGTTGCCTGTGGTCTTAATTCATGGCTCTTTGCTCAGTGGCCGAGTCAGCAGCATAGCACCCTGTCCTTGCTGTCCTCTCCTCCCTGAACCCGGTCCTCCGGCCTGCCTTATGGGAGGACACGCTCGGGTAAGCCCATCCCTGAACGTTGGGGCTCCTGCCTGTCTCATCTCTCAAGATCCCCTGATTCATCATGTCTCAGGGTCCCTTGCATCACGTAAGTTCACGTAGCACAGGTGTAGGGGTTAGGACACAACCACTTTGGGGGCAGGTGTTCGGCCTTCCACTTTATCGTACATATAGAGACTTGGGAATTAAGTATGTTGCTCAAGGTCACAATAATGGGCTGACCCTACTCTGACCCCAAGGGTCGAGGACCTGTCAAAAGCAGGCCGGGATCTAAATTGAGACATTTGGGAAGTTGGCCCATGGACTGTGACCATTCTCATGACCCCAGTTCTCTCTGTTCCCGCCGTCGAGGACACTGAGGCTGTCCATTCACTTCCCACTGAACTTAGTTTCTCGCCTACCCCACCCCTTTCCCTTGCTAGCTCCTACTCGATTCAGAACACAGGTTCTACTCCGGCCTGCCCTAACGCCTAAGCTCAAGGCTGAGGGAAACTGAGTCCTGCTGCTGATTTCTCACCCTGACCCTCATGCTCCTCCCCACGCTCCTCCCCATCTGAACGGCTGCCCCCAATGAAGGCCCTCCCCCATCTCCCCATCTCCTTTCCTTTTAGGTCTCCAATAAGGACACAGTTCCTCTCCCACAGCCAGTGGGCTGTGGAGGACACAGAAGAAATCTTGCACTGCGTATTGTCAGATGCCATAGCACCTCCTGTAGCATTGTCACAGACACAGTGCCCAGGCTCTCCAACACCCCAGCATGCCTCAAGTGCCCAGGAGTCTGCGCGTCTCCAAGCAGCCCTGTCATCCTGAGGAACGATGAAGCCCCTCCAGCCTGACAACCAGGAAGCTGCCCTGGCACCAACCACACAGACCTAGCACAGAGCATGGCCGTCCTGTGGGAGCTGTAAAGCCGCCACGCTCTTGTCTTCACAGAATGGACAGTCCAGCGGGGGCACACGGTGCCTGAGGGCTCTCCTTTCTGGGTGACGAGGCAAGGCCACCCTTTGCAAGTCTGTGTTAGCTGCGTCAGGCACTAGCACAGTCCTGTCCTTGCAGCCTGCAGTGCCACAGGCGCTCCCACTCCACTGGGAAGATTCGAGGCCTGTTCAGAGTTAGGGAAGGGGAGATGAGTGACCTGGGAGGAGAGACCCGCCGTATCCAGTGGGGAGAGGGAGGTGAGTTTAGGCAGCAGTGGTGGCATGAACGTGGCTGACGTGAGGACGAGGACCAGCTGGGTCACTGGAGGACTCTGGATGCTGGGATGTGGTTCCGCCTAAGCTGCAGAAAGCAGAGCCCTGGGGATGCGATGGGAAAGGAGCCTCTGGGAAGTGAGGCTGACAGCAGGTGTTAGCGGGGGGGGGGTCCTGCACATCACTAGAAGGAGACCACGACCTCTGAGAGGTGACAGGGACACTGGGGACTTAAGAAGCACATGGCACCATCCTCTGCTGCTGCTGGTGGTGCGTCATGTGTGGGGAACAGGCTGACAGCGTTGCACAAGAGAAGCCTGCAGATGTAAAAAGATGGTGGGAGAGGAAATGGAATGCGTGGGAGAAAATATTAAGTGAAAATAACACAGATGCGGTTACTGCAGAGCTAGTGCGCTCAGCGCACGCCACCCTCTCTACCTACGCTGCTTTTGTTTAAACATTTATTTAGTAGGAGACACACATGCCACTGCATTTGTATAGAGACCAGAGGACAACGTGCAAGAATCGATTCTCTCATTCCACCATGGAAATTCTGGGAATGAAACTCAGGCCTGCAGGCTTCATGGCTGGTGCCTCCACAAACATGGCAAACATGTATGTGTACACACGCAACTCCCTGACACAGACAAAGCGGGGATACTTTTCTTTAAGACAGAATCGCACGTAGCCAGGCTGCCCTTGAAACCCTGACCCCCCCGTCTCTACCCTGCAAGCGCTGGAACTACAGGTGTGTGTCACCACGTCCAGCTAGTCATCCATAATGATACTCATATATCCACGAGTCACCCCACCCATTGCTACTCACTGTGGCCTATGACCCTCTCTCTGCTCCTGGTGCTATGGCCTCCCTTCTCTCTTCCTGCCTAGAAAAACATCTCTAAAAGAGGGATTCTTCCCCCCACAGAGTATATTATATAGCCTATGCTACCAATTTGAAATCTCCACCTCTGTATCCCAAATGTTGGGATTACACGAAGTCCCATCATGCCCAGCTCAAGTTAGGCATCAATAGAGGCTAATCAAAGCTGCCAAGCTGACAGACACAGGTCTCTGGGTATGCCTGTAGGGTATTTTCATATTTTTGGTTTTTTTCTGAGACAGGGTTTCTCTATATTTCTGTGGAGGCTGTCCTGGAACTCGCTCTGTAGACCGGGCTGGCCTCGAACTCACAGAGATCTGCCTGCATCTGCCTCCCGAGTGCTGGGATAAAAGGTGTGCGCCACCAACACCCGGCCGGGGTATTTTCTTGATTGTGTTAGCTGATGTAGGAAGATTCTTTGTAATTGTGGGTGGGACCATTCTCCAAGCGTAAGGTCCTGGACTGATAAAATGGAGCCAGAGAGATGGGCAGTGGTCGAGTATCCATTCATCACTCTGCTTTTAGACTGCACATGCAAGGCTGACCCACTGCCTCAAGCTCCTGGAACCTGACTCCACCGCCACAATGAACAGTCCCGTGGAGTGTCAGCTAAAATAAGTCCTTTCTCCCTTGGGTTGCTCTGGTCAAGGTATTCTATCACAGTGACAGAAAAAGAAACGGAGGCAGAATCCAAAGTAGTTTTCACATGAAAATGTGGAGTCTAGAGTTCCAACGCCAGTCTTCAAAGGCACAAGGACGACTTTGGGAATTACTTATCTGAACCCACAGAACAGAGGCTGGGGTACAGCTCACTCTGGTGCCTGAAGCCCTGGGTCCCATCCGCAGCACCAAACATACACAGAAAACAATCATCCCCCAGCTGACAGGGATGGGCAGCTAGGCTTGAGAGTGCACACTCAGGAGTGCAGAGATTTGCCCCACAGATGCAGAGCACTGCCCCACCAGAGTGTGGAGATGGCTCAGTGGGTAAGAGCATTTGCTGTGCAAGCGAGAGGACCTCCGCTTGAATCCCCAGCATCCACAAGAGTTTGTGGGGGAAAAGGGACAGGAGGAGTGACCAGGATGAAGACAGGCAGATCCCAGGAGCTCTCCAGTCAGCCAGCCTAGACTCAATGAGTTTCAAGTTCAGTGAGAAGCCCAGTTTCAAAAACCAAGGTGGAGAACAACAGGGAATGCCTATCATCTTCTTCTGGCCTCCATACACACAAGCACCTGCACATATATCTGTGTATATACCCAAACACACACACACACACACACACACACACACACGCACACGCACACACACATACACACACATTTGCTGCTAAGTCTGCTGACGTGAGTCCGCAGGTCAGCACAGGGTGGAAGGAGAGAACAAGCTATGTACACACACACACACACACACACACACACACACACACACACACACACACACCAAAAAGGAAGAGAGACTCGACTGTATCAATAACTCATGTCCATGGTTTTGTCCTTGGGATCAGTGTAGTAGCTTCTCCATGGTGCAGGGCAGCGCGGCTCTGGGGCCTGGGGCCTGGGCATGCTATTCCTGGAGGCGACCACAGCACCAACCGGCACAGAGAAAGGATGATAGCACACTACCATCAAACACTGGACTCTGTGCTACATAGCACCGGGCATGCAGGCATGGGAGTGTGGAACACACATCTTACCATGGCTGTGACAGAGCTTGGCAGGCAGGAGCAGCCCGAGGAAGGCCTTTCCCACAGCGTCACAGAGAACACAATGCCAATTTGCCGCCACAGTCCCTCTGGCCATGACACGATTCTACCTGCTGAGGTGTCTGTGCGCAGCTTCCCCAAGGAACTCGGGATGAGGTCTGAGGTAGGCAGTGGGAGGAGAAAGAGCCCTGTACTCCCCTCTCCCACCCCAAGGAAGTCCCCAGAGGGCTTGCCTGGGGTGGAACACTGGGCAGAGTTCCCAGAACTTGCCTCCGTTCCCTCCCCCATTT